CAGCTATGCCTGGCTAACACTACAGAAGTTACAATGATGCAGTGCATATGCACTCCTGTTACCATATCCAATAATATAAAACTGACCTTTACAAAGTGACCTGTCTTGGCTGTGTTTTAGTGAACTAGTATTTTGTAAAATACAGTCACATTTCAGTTATAATACAATATATATACGTCTTGTGCACATGTAGTAAATTAGGAATTATGGTCAACAATCATTCTCCAATACAGCGTTGGCCCAACAAATTTACCCCATGCATATACAGTTAAAGAAAAACAATTCACTTGAATAAAACTTAAAATTTAATTCCTTTATTTCTCCTGTACGTCATAAATAACTGAACATTGGACTGACCCTTCACACCTTCAGTTACCTGCACCTGATGTATGGTTTCTTTTACTGTATTGCAAATAGTGGATGAAATTGCTTGAAACTCCAGCAGTTTATACAGATTCAGAAAATAACTTAATATTTTTTGTGACATTTGTATGAATTTGCAATTTTGAAAATTCAAAAAGATTTCACTGTGACATGTTTTTAAGAAACAGTTAAAAACACCTTTATTATAGATTTCAATCACTGGTTTTTATATCTTCCTACATTTTTATAAGACTTTCCTATAAAGTTTCTTTTTTTAACAAAACTATAAATTTTATCTTACTTTAGATTTAAAAACACCACATTCAAACACTGACACACAATAAAAATAACTTTTCTACCATACACAGATATAAACAAATCCATTTTTTAAATGGTTAATCATAAGGTATCATTTAATATTAGTAATGTTTTAAATCCACTTTATATTCATTTATCAATAAAACAAACCATAATAACAGGAAGCATTTATTAGACTTTTCAGAATCATCATAATTCCATCATCAGTAATCTAGGGTTACAAAACAAACAAACAATATTTGTAATTACAACAAAAATATCTACATAAGATATAAACAAATCAAGTACACAAATATAACACGAAAAAATGAAAACTGATGCACAACTGAAATAGTTAAAATAGGTTTAAATCCAGTGAATACTGTGTTATTTAGGGATGGGAGAAGAGTTTTTATGTATAACGTTTCTTTTAATAGAAGTTCAGTATCATATTCGGCTGTTGATAGAATTTGAAAGTTTGAGAGAAAAATAGGATATCCCGTTTCTTTACTGTGTTGAGAGATAGTGGAGTTAGGAGGGTTTGTAACCTTTCTTCCAGTTTTTATAGATATGCCCATAAGTTCACATGCTCGTACTTTAAAAAAAAACAGGATTATAATTGTTCTATAAATTGTTCACAAATATAATTTCTTCCAACAATATATCATCAAGCTAAGTTTTTTTATCACTTTGTTCCAATCTCTGCTGAACTGGAAACTATATTTGCCTATACAGTTTAAAATAAGAGAAAAAAGCACATTCATTAAGTGTTTAGATCCCAAAGTTGAGATATAATCAATTACATCACACCATGACAACCAAGGTTAAGAAACAGTGACTGGATGAAATCAGTAAAACTAGACTTGTATTAAAGTTACAAGGTTTGATTTAGCACTAGTTTGAGCAAAACTATTATGACTAAGGGGTTATAAACATCATGTTATGCAGAAAATTCATAAATTATAATTTTTTCTTAGGGCATGCTGAGATTAACCAAAAAACATAATTTTTTTTTTATTTTTACATATATAAAATTAAATAAGTAAACCTTCTTTGTGGAATAATTTTCAACTCAAATTAAAAGTATGTTTTGTGTGTGTTAGAATAACAGAGTTTATTTTTTAAAAACTGTTTAATTCACTAATACAATTCTGGATGCACATATCCAGTGCATAAGTTAGTTAATACAAGAAATTTTGAAAGAAATAATAAAAATAAAAATTTAAAACTGGATCATTAATTTAAGCTACTGTATTATACACCATAGTAACAAAAAACCTATAGCCATTAATTTACTACTTTAATCCAAACTTTCTTTACCACTGGAATAAACTATCTAACTAGGTCCAATAATCAATAATACTAAGTTTTTAAAAATTTAATTTTTTTCTTCACTGTATTATTATGTCTAGTAAAATATTCAGTATATTTATAGAAAGACAAAAATTACATTCAGAATGAACACAGAAAATGCAAAAAACTATTAATACGGGCATCCTTTTCTATGCATTTCACAAGGTTTTTCTGAGTTACATTCAAAATTTAATTAAACTACTTTATTGTCATGGTATATGTATAT